TCGGGAGGGAAAGCGGGGGGGCACCGTAGTCTGGAAGCATCTGAAAGTCCAAGACAAGCTCTTTCCTCTAACGTCATCCTTATGCTGTCCTTTTACTGCTTTTTCAGTATTACTTCTGTTTTCTTCCGAGGGGCTGAGTAATCTTGCTTGGTTTGCCTCTTCCTGTGAACCTTGCTTTGATCGGTGTTTTTTGTTGGTCAGGACTTCATCTTCCTTTCTGAAATTGTTTTCCCTCCTTCGTCTCTGTCTCCACCGTTGTTACAGTTGATGTATTTAAAACACTAAATGCTTGTTAGTGATGTGATGTGATGTGTCATCTTACGGAAGGGCTGTTGTAAGTTTATCAGTGGAGACAAGAGCAATGTATGGGTGGGATGAATTATGTTTGTCTAGAGCAAGGAACAACCAGCCTGATGGAGAAGAGAGGTAACGTGGGTGAATAGGATATAATCTGTCAATATTGCTTTGTGGTGCAGTCTGAGACTTTATCCGACTGGCTCTGTTTGCTCCTTACAAAATGACACGTCAACAATTAGTATTGCAGGATATAGTCCTTTTTTTTTTTTGTCTCCTGCTGCTTCATTCCTCTAGAATTGCCTAGACTTTTCCTATGTGTAGACTTACTTAAAATTCAGCCCACTGGATTTTGAAGGGGATGCTAGCAGAGGTGAGAGTCTCACTCATAGTGAACAGCTTTACAAACCATGACATCTGGCTGAGGTGTTTGGGTTTTGTTTTTTTTTTTTTAATACTGGTCTCAGCAGAGAAGTTGAAAAATGAATGCTCAGGAGGCATTGACAACTGATACAGCGCTTTGAGTGAGGAGTAGAGGTATAGTCAGAAATACAATGAGCCTTACTAAACCTTGTTTATTGGTAGTAACATTAGAAACTTGAAAAGAAAGTATGCAAGAAGCTATTTGAAAAATTCTATGATTCTGTGACTTCATAGTCCTTTTTGCAGTTATGTATGAAGTAGTGTTGTATTACTGTTGTTTTCTCTGGCCTTCCTCTCTTCTTTCCTTCCAGTTGCCTATGACCTTCATTTGTTGCACGAAATGCATAGTTTTTTACCTGGAGTTTTATTCTGGCTCGTGCATGCCTGTCACAGAATGATTGCGTTCCAGTTACAGAATCTGTGTTAACTTTGAGACAGACAGATTTCAGTGTTTTATATTGTCTTGTTGAGAACTTGAAGGGAAAAAACCCCCAACAACTCATTTTTTTAAAACAGCCTATAGCATGCTGGTTGTGGAGCTCAAAGACCTGGTAAATATGGAGCCTTTGGATTTGTAGGCGTTCTTTACAGTAAACACCTGCTTATTTTCTGTGGGGAGGTTAGCTGTTGAGGTACATAAATGCTGTGTTTCCTTACAGAATGTAAACATTGCATTGATCTGATTTTCTTTTGGTAGATGTTACCTAAATTGCTGTAAGACTTCCCTAATCTGATGGTGAAAAAGAAATGAGATGCAGTACTTGAGTATCATAAAGTTGTCCTAACAATAGTATCAACTAATCACCTGGTGTAAGCCCCACGAGGGCTGATGTGAAAAAGTATTGGATTCCTATTTGGGTTTTGTTTAGTGCTTTGTTGGTGCACTTTTCTTGAAGTAGGTGGTTCTGGATGGCTGCAGCAGTAAATTTTCTATGGATTTTATTTTCAGTGAAAATACTGGAGTTGGTTTAAGAAAATGCATTTGAACTGCTAAAACTGTTCTTATATAAAAATTATTTCTTCTTGAGAAGACTGTATCAGAAGTAATCATTTAGATGTTGGACTGCCATCTGCCTAATTCACCTACCTTTGGAGGGCTTCTTCCTTCTCAACATAAGTGGTAAGACAGGGAAAAAACTATTTTGTTAAACACAGGAAAGGAGGCGAATATCTGTTCAAACCATTCTTCGTCTGAGAAGTCAGTGGAAAACTTGAATGCTGTGCTGCACATTTTCAAAGCCAGCTGTGTCGATGTACTACTGCTTGTTCATAGTGCTTAAGAACCAGTATTGGTGGAGGAGAAAGATCTTACAGGTGTATCTGTGCTAGAGAGCGTGATGTATTGAAGGTTGAGTTGACACAGACCAAGCTACCACAAGCAGTCCATCAGTGGCATCAGAGTACAGTGCAAACTTACTCTTCTCCCCCACCATGATATACATTTATGGTAAGTTCTTGAGCAGCTGTAACAGCTTCTTGTAGCTCAGACTGTGTAAAAGTACTTTCTTTCTTGTTACGTGTCATCTTCAGCTTTGGGCAAATCTACATTCCAATTATGCTTCTGCATTTACTAAATTTATTTAGGTTCTTGGTGCAAGCTGGGGAGACTATGTATGTGCAGTTAGCTGAAGCTGGTGGTCATCAGCTTTAGCAGCAAAGACCTGGCTCCTTTTTAATGGATTGGAAAAAAAAATAGCCTGGTTTGACCCTCGGTTTTTGAAGGCATTTGTAATCTATGGATTACAAATGTCATAAGAAAAAAAAATGAGCAATTCTTCCTCTCTGCTTTCTGCTCTTCTGGTTTCTGGTCATCTGCACTTCAGAGACTTCTAGAAGTTGGATCCTTCTAGTTTATTTAAGAGTTAGATTTCTTTTTGTCTTCGGCTGTAGAGCATAGGGTGAAGGGTGGCAGGAGGAGACAGGGGGCAAGAGACCTGTGTGCAGTATCAAAGATGTGAACATGGAGTTTGTTCAAATGGTAACAAAGCAATGTTTTCTGTTCTTAGTTCCCCTTCTAATACTCCTGAGCATTCTGTTAGCAGAATGAGAAAGGCTAATGAGCTTATGGTTTCATCAGGCTGTCTGCAGTGACCGCTCCTGAGTAGCATGAGCTAATTTATGTAACCACAATAGTTTTCACTAAGAAAAAGCAGATACTGTAAGTTGATTACTTTATATTTAATGGCATTTAGTGACAAAATGTCAACTGGAGATCAATCAGTATAGATCCCTTTCTGAATTCTTTAATCAACTCATACCTAATCTCCTGGATGGAAAAGTATCTTTTGTGCATTTGTCATCTTATTATTCACAACCTTTTCCAGATCTTTCGTGAAGATGAGCAGCACAGATCTCAACACTGATTCCTGTGGGATTCCACTGGTAACTTTCCACATTGTGAAAAATGGCCATTTATTTTTATCCTTTGTTTCACTTTTTTAACCAGTTGTTAATCCTTAAGAGTCCTTTGAGTGTTTATTTAGGCCTGTTAGAAACTCTTCAGAAACTCCATATACCCTGCCAGTAAGGGAAGCACTATAGCAAGAGCTTATGGAAACCTTCTAAGAATTGTGCTACATTTGTGAGATTATTTTTTTTTCTGGAAAAAAAAAATATTCCTCATTATTTTTTATATATATATATATTTCTGTGTATCTGCTAATTGCTTTTATTGTTACTGCCTTCATTTTGCCTAATATTGAAGTAAGATTTATTGATATGTAGCTTCTTTGAAATCTCTCGCCCATTGGGATCCCTTTTTGCCACCTTTGACTTGTCGTTGTTCACACACTTTTTCATACAAGAGCTGATTTATGTTGCTGCATTGAAGAGTTAACCATTCGTTTCATAGAGTTGCTTTAGAAGTCAAGTGAATTACACCTGGTCCTGTCCAAACTGATGATACAAGGGAAAAAAAAAAAAGGGCAGGAGAGCACCATAAAATACAAGTTTTGCTACTTTCTGTTGTGAAAAAGTTGCAGGATAAAGTGGAAACAATTTAGGCTACTAACCACTGTCTTCAAAACTGTCCACTGTGGTCGAGGGATTGGAGGCAGCATAATTTTGTTGGCTTTTTTAGAAAGTTTTGGAAGGTCTTTCAAGAACAGATCACCAAATTTTCCAACACATCCAAGTTTGGGGAAATACCTGCTTTTATAACTTCATTTGCTGTAATGAAAACTGTCACTAAACTGTTCATGTAATTTTAATATATGGATTGTATGGATTTAATATATGGGATTTCCTTGATTCAGTTTAGTTCTTTCCCATTCTTGATCACACTGAGTGTTAAGTTCCTTTTAGCAAAAGTGATCTCTTCTTTCCATTTATCCACTACTTACATTTATTTTTACTTCTTAACAGCATAGAAAACTGGCAATTTCCCTTACAAGTCATTGACTCTTCAGCTATTGGCAATTTTTGGGTAGCAGCTTTTATGATTCAGCCGATCTTTCTTTAGGAATAATTGGCCTGTAGCTGAGAGATTTGTTACTAAAACAGCAGAGTTGTGAGCGTGTGTGTGTTAGGGGGGGAACTATTTTATATTTGCTTTGAAAGAAATACCTGCTGCTCCAGAGAAAGGTGTGAGAAAGTAGGGAGATAGATGATAGGCATACAAGCGTGCTGTAATAGAACAAAGTACGCTTTGTAAACTATACTCAAGACCTTCAACAAGATAAGGTTGATGCAGCGTGTTCTTTGCTTTCTTCTTTTACTAAGCTTTTATTTAAAAAGAAAAGAGAAATACTTGTGTAATTTCTGGGAATAATGATTAAGGCAAAGAATGCTTATTAATGAGTTAAAGCAAAATACTGTGTCTGTTGGTTTGGGGTTGTTTTTTTTTTTTCCTTTGCAAGAAGAAACCTTAAAGCAAGAAAATACAGGGCTACAGATGAAACTAAACTTTGCATATGTGTATGTATCTACTTATTACAATAATCATGACATATGAAAGACTATAACTTCTTAAAGTGAACTCCTTACTCTCTTTAGATAGCTTATTTGGGACTTTTAACACTATTGCATCATGATATTGCTACAGGGCTTGCATTCGTCAATGTATCTGTATGCGTTTATCTATTTAGAGCACCTTAATCCTACATGTTTTCCCACACTATAATGTACCATTTGGTATGTGACCCTCTCCATTACTGATTATATATGCTTTCTTGTCGTTGAATTCGTCTTACTGTGGGGATGAGTCATTTTTACTGAGAAGACATTTTGCCTTTTTCTGGGTTCTAATGGATGTCTATTGAGTGACTGCTCTTTTGCAGGTGAAGTGGATGATGTACTGGATTGTGTTTGCCTTTTTCACCACTGCAGAAACACTCACAGACATTGTTCTTTCTTGGTGAGTTCCTGTCTGGTTTTTTGTTTGTTTTTAAAGAAGAGTAATGTTAGGTTGCTAAGAATAAAGTGTCGCTCCTTTTAGGAGTTTTCAGTCCCTATGAAGAGCCTGCGGGTTTCTAGATACTGTGGCTAGTAGCTGCCATCTTGCCTGTTTCATCTCCTACACTTGGAAACAGTTAAGATAAATACACAGTATCTGTAAGAGGATCTTCATCCATTCATAACAAAATACTTTTGAGAAGCTGTTAATGTGAACTGGTAAAGTTTGAGAAAGGATTGTCTGAAAGACACTTAAAAAAAAAGATGGTAGAAGGACCTGTTTTGCTTTGCCATCCTGTTGTGTGGAGGAGCAAATCAGATGCATGTCTGTGCTCTGAGTGGTGTTTTGCATGATGGAATTCTCTTCCACTAGTGAGGGTGAGGTGGAGCAGAGTTGGGGGAAGCAGGTTCTTAATCCTTTCAATGCTGTGTGCCATGCTTGGCAATACAGAGGCCTTCAAAAATGACAAATCATCGTTGCATGTCTTCATCTGAACATTTGGAAGAGGATATCTTCAGTTTCTTCATTGCTTTAGTGTTTGAGCTTCGCATACATCTCTGAAAGAATACTAGTCAAGAGTTGCATCTTTTAAAGAAACATGAAATGGCTACACATGCCTTACAGAAGTGCTCAGCAGTTTTGCCTCTTCCTGCATAAACTTTGAAAAGCAGACAAAGATCTAAAAAGTACACGAGCTTTGGCTTGTTCACGGACTTAAAACGAGCCACTGAAAACAGAAGTCTCTTACTACTAACAGAGACAGTAGAAAGTTTGCATTCACTTGGTTTTGCTGCTGTATCTTCCTAGAGACTTTATTGGGTAAGGGTTAGAGACAGAAGACTTACATGCTGCCTGCTTTTTTTCATTTACATTGACCCTCCTTTTATATCTTACATGAGAAGTACATACTGAAAGTTTCAGAAACTGAGCCATCAGCCTTAGCAGGAGCTTGAAATTTATTGAGATACGTAGTTGAAAACTTTGGAAGAAGAGAGGGAAACTAATGTAATATTAACATCCAGTGGGTTCTCTCTGAACAAACTTCAGAATGATGAGAGTAGCTATCAGATTGTAATTTGGTGTGTTTGCAGGGCTGAGAGATGCCCTGTTTATGGAGTTTTCATGGCTATGGATGAAAGACTAAATGAGACTCGAAGAAGGTATGTTCTAGGATTCCAAAGAGGGTTCTGCTATTCTGATCTGATACATCAGTTCTTTTGTTTCTGAGCCTTTAGCTTACCTTTCTGCCTATGCTGCTCTCTACCAGTTACCCTCATCTGTCTCTGCTGATCTTGATTCCAGTTCTCCATCTT